TCCTTGGTGCTCTCTGAGCTTGGTGGTTTGCTTGCAGACGTTTCATTACCCGACTAGGTAACATCATCAGTGCTAGAAGGGAGTGAGATTTGCTCCCTGTTTATATACTGTAGCTTGCTTTTTGTGGGGGTTTGGTTTTCTCCTTGGTAGTTCCTTGATTAGGGTATTGTTTTCTGCTTGATTGTTTGTGTTAATCCCTACTTATCTTGGTGTTGCTGGAGAGGATGTGTTCTGGTCTTTTTATTTCCTTCTTAACTTTGCTATTGTCTCTTTTGAATAGTGTGTAAATATGGTTTATTTCTATGTGTCTATTGATGGCTGATTTGTCTGAATGCCAAGCTTCCAGGAATTCCTCAGCATTTTTGGATCTAGCTCTTTCTAGCATGCTCACAGTTTCCCAGTTCAAACTATGGTTGAGTCTGTCCATCTGTTGTGAAATTAAGGCGTTTTCATCGACACTAACTAGCAGACAGAAGACACAATGAGAACTCCTCAATCTCACAACACATAGACGGACTCAAACATAATTCGAACAAATCAGCCATCAATAGACACATAGAAATAAACCATATTTACACACCATTCAAAAGAGACAATAAAAAGCTAAAAAGGAAACAAAAAGGCCAGAGCACATCCTCTCCAGCAGCCAACACCCAGATAAGAGTGATTATCACCAGACAAACAATCAAGCAGTAAACAATAGCCTAATCAAGGAACTACCAAGGAGAAAACCACTCCCCCACCAACACTGGCAGGGCAAGCTAGTGTGTATAAACAGGGAGCAAACCCCACCCTTACCAGCACTGATGAAGTTACCTAGTTGGGTGATGAAATGCCTGCAAGCAAACAACCAAGCTCAGAGAGCACCAAGGACTCCAATGTTCTTTCTATTTCAGCTTCAGAATAAAGGCTGAACTGTCATGGAATCTGTATCAAACTCTCTTTCTGCACTTTTGCTTTTTTTTCTCTTTTCTTTTTCCTCCTTCCTTCCTTCCTTCCTTCCTTCCTTCCTTCCTTCCTTCCTTCCTTCCTTCCTTCCTCCCTCCCTCCCTCCCTCCCTCCCTCCTTCTTTTTACTCTCTACTGTATTCATTTGTGTAGTTTTTATGTTCTTTGTAAAACTTTAAATAAAATTTATACAAAAAAAGAAATCTGTATCACACATACTTCATCCATTTACTATCAATTGCTGATGGATTCAGAAGAAAGGGAGGGGCCAAGATCTGCCAAAGGACACAGGGGAGGTGGGGTCAGGAGCAGATGGCAGCATCCATAGAAACTCGCTGTTTCATTAGTAAGACTAAAAGGGTGTCGGGATGTTGTGCGCAGCTCTGCCCCTTGGGGTCATGCCATGCTTGGGATGTTGCAGCACACACGGACAAGGGGTGGAGCTTGCATTGTGATGCCACAATGCCACTGACCCTATCTTGCTCCTCTTGCAGACCCTGCTGGGAGCAAGGAGTCTCCAGTATCATTATGGCTCTCCAAATATTTATTACAAATACCAGAAATGTGGATTTCAGTGTGCACCTCAAAATAAAGTCCAGTCCAGAGGTCTTCTCTTGCTCACGTAGCCCAGATTCCTCAAATCTACCACCACCACCTCTGCGGTGCCTCCAGACCAGAATCCCTTCCTACTGATTGAGCATACAGTTGGACATTCTGAAAACAGCCGCGTGCACCTCCTGTGGCTTCCTCACTACACGAAGCACAATTAAATGGAAGAGGACTGAGCCCAAACTCAGTCTGTGTTATCACAGAATGGGGAAATCCCCAAACAATGGACCTTGAGAAAGAAATAATGAAGACTTGGATGAAGGAATGGTTGTTAAGAAACAAGAGAATGTTAGAACTAGAAGTACGCAGCCTGAGGTTTGGGTGGCATGGCTTTTTATGGTATGATATAGTTAATGTAGTCTTTAAAAATCATTATATTAGGAGTGCCATATTATGAATATGGAATAGGTATGGACTCAGGCTGTGCCCAAAAATACTTTTATTGGCCTGAGCACAAGAGGTGTTTTATAGAAAAGAAACAGCAGGCAAAGAAAAATGGTTAACATATGAAGATTTGTTAATACAGGAAAATTGAGAACTTAAGATGAAATCAAGAGAACAACTGACTGCAGAGGGATTTACTTTTCAATGGTTTTCATAAGCACAACTAAAGGAAAGGTTTAATAAGGATAAAAAGCTACCAGGTATAGAACAACATGTAACAGAATTTGAAAGGGAATTATGTACAAATGATGAACACCTAATTGTTAAAATGAATAATTGTATGAGATTTGATGAACAAGTTAAAGAGCGCATGATAAAATGGGCTAAGAATGTTGGTTACAACATACAGATGGATCAGTGGAAAAGAATGTGGTTAAAAGGACTGAAATTCACATTGTCTTATAATTTAAGAGAGAATTTTTATAAAATGATGTACTGTTGATGATATATAACATCACCAGAGAGATTAACTAAGATGTATAAAGGTATCTCTAATTGTTGTTGGAAATGTGAAGAGCACAAAGGGATATTTTACCATGCATGGCAGACTTGTGAAAAACCAAAAAAATACTGGATACAAATACATATGATGATGCAGAGAATTTTAAAAATTAATATTCAGTTGAAACTGGAACTTTCCTTACTAGGACTTATGGACAGCCAACTAGAAAAGACTCATGGAAGTTTGCTTTTATATATGGTAACTACAGTGAGGCTGTTATATGCACAAAGATGAAAGACTCTGAAATACCCACAGTGGAAGAGTGGATTGTGAAGATGGCAGAACTTGCAGAAATGGCTAAACTGACTCGTTTGATCCGGGAAGGAGCAATAACTACTTTTACAAAAGACTGGAAACCCTTTATGGACTTTTTGCTGAAAATGGATAAAAATGAACTGGTGATTTACTGATTAAGAAGGGCTGTATATGAGAAGAAGGAAACTGTGTTATGTAATCTGGGAGAGCAGAAACAGTATTAACTATACTTGTAATGCTGCAAAGAAGATCAGAAGTCGCTTTTTTAAATATTTCCTTTTTCTTTTTTTTCTTTCTTTTTTCTGGATCTATACTTTCTTTCTTTCTTTCTTTCTTTCTTTCTTTCTTTCTTTCTTTCTTTCTTTCTTATCTTTCTTTTTATATCTTTTTTGCTTTTCTATATTCATTTTTATTTTTCTGTAAGCTTTTAACTTTTTGTAAAAAAAAATCTTCAATAAAAATTATACTTGTAATGCTGCAAAGAAGATCAGAAGTCGCTTTTTTAAATATTTCCTTTTTCTTTTTTTTCTTTCTTTTTTCTGGATCTATACTTTCTTTCTTTCTTTCTTTCTTTCTTTCTTTCTTTCTTTCTTTCTTTCTTTCTTATCTTTCTTTTTATATCTTTTTTGCTTTTCTATATTCATTTTTATTTTTCTGTAAGCTTTTAACTTTTTGTAAAAAAAAATCTTCAATAAAAATTATATTTAAAAAAGAGATAATGAAGTCTGACCCAGAGGATCAGGCCAAGCAAAGGGGACATAGGTCTGGCGAGATCGGGTGCCAAAGCTCCTTGCTTTGTAATAAAGACTTTGTACGGAGGGAGAGGCTGTCATCGTGGCAGAGCTCAAAGGCACACCTGGTTGCTAGTCCTTCTGCTATGGGGGGAGGGGGGGGTTGAAGGGAAAGCTGATAACGTAACTTTATTTGGGAAAGCCCCCCCCCCAATATGTAACTGTAGAAACCTTTTTTTTTCGCACAGAACTCACCATTTGATGAAGTGAACTCGCTTGTTTCCTTGCAGGACAACAAACCCAAATGGGGTGAACGCCAGAAAAGCAGCATTTCCAGACACGTCCTGCAACACACCAAGAGCTTCTCATCGAACGGTGCAATGATTTAAGACAAACTCAGCTCTCTGTTGAGGGGCACCTGAGCCTAAACAGCTGGAGTCACTCCTCCTCAGCCACCAAGATGCTGAACTGGGCGCCTGCGTTGAGCGCCACAGACTGCAGCTCTCGCACCTTGGGCACCTCTTCTCCCCTCGAAGACGCAGCTGCCCAAAGCTGCCAGGAGCCCGTCCAGCACTTGGCCGCCTCCCAGGCCTCCGACCCCGAGGGCCCTCTGGCACCCCCGCTGGGAGAGGCGTCTGCTGCACCAGGATCCCGGCCCTCCTCTTGCAAGCCACTTCGGGCGGACCCGTTTCTTGCCTTTCTGGGCAGGGCCAGTTCACGTGGCTGCAGCGTATGCAGAAAAGGGGGACTAACTGGGGCCTGTCAGCCCTTCAAGGTAGAGCAGATGGGAAACCCAAGTCATGCATGCTGATACACCTGTACTGTAAGGTTACAGAATCTTGCAAGTCTGAATACACCCCCCCCCCATCTTTGTGAGAACCAGGGAGGGTCGTGTCTCAGGTGCTTCCTCAAATTACATTTCTGCCTCGGACTCAAACTTCCTTTATCTGACCATTGCCTTGGTTGTGGCCCTTCCTCCTGTTCCTCAATGTGAATGTGCTAGTCCAGCACTGGACCCTTGTTATGCCCTACTGTTACCTGTGAGAGCGGCTTCGACATCTAGAAACACTTGGCACCTTAAAAGTAAATCTGACACAGATTTCAGTTTCAACTGGAAACCACTGTTAGACCGTGATCCAGTACATGGATTGGTATCGCATCCAACATTTGGGTTTATCTATGCATAGAATCTGTATTTCAGTTTACAAGATACCTAAATTAGAAGGAATTCCTAGTAATACTTATTTGTAATACTGAACTTATTATAGAATGTAATTCCCTTCAGTGGCTTATTTTGTGCTGATCATGGTTTTTGATATCCATGTTTAAGCTTTAAACAGTGATTCTTAGCTTTTTAATATAATATATTCAGTGATTTACAATTACCTAATGATAGATTGGAAAACTATAACCTCCATGAGCTTTCTAAATCCCTTGTTCATTCATTTCTATGTTACTCTTTCATTCCTTTTTCAGGTTTCTTTCTCATGCTTGTCCATATATTTTCTTTAAAACGTCTAATAAAAAAGCAAGGAAAAAATAAAATCTTGTGCAACTCTTTCAACAGACATGTAGCTTGAAGTTGCAGTTGGATTTCTTCCAGTATTTCCTGATTAACATGTTACTTTAAAAGGTCATGAATCTAACCAGAGACCAAAGCAACATTTCTTATTCCTTCCTGGCTGCTAGCATGAATGCCCGAGAATGTGGAAGTGCGAAATCTAGCTATCAGCATTTTAGCTTCTGCTCCAGTGAACAGGGCCCAATCGTTCCTTGTAACAGACACGATCATAGTTCTAGCAAAAAAACCCCGGTTGTCTTAAAAGAAGGAAAAAACCCGAGAAAGAAAAGCCATTCACCAGTGTCTGGTCACAAGGAGATACTTTAGGAATGTCCAGTTGGGAATGCAGCCTTGCGGTCTTGCCCATCTGTCAGTGCTGCAGCCCCACAGCATTGATGCAGCCCAGTCAGTACATCCCACTAACTGCTGGCACAAAGGCAAAGCAAAAAGGAGAACCAGTGAAGGAAGGACAGCCAGTCTCTGCTTCCACCATCCAAAGCCGCTCTGCTGCCGCCAGCAGAACTCCACCTCCCCAAGGTAGCCCCATCACTTGCTAGCTGAACAGCAGTCCATGACTAGGTTTGCATAGCACACAACCTCGTCAACCCATCCAGCGTTCTCGCAAACAAAGCAAATGGGCTGAATTCAAACACCCTGGTGCCCAACTTAGCTGCCAATCAGTTAAGCATGTTGTGTAAATTCAGGATGTGAAAACGAGCTACAGGAGGAGACAATCCAGCCCTGAGAAGATGATTTCCCAGGGAAGCCTCCCCACAAGCCCCTAGACGAGCCACCAGGCTATCATGCCCCCGGCTGAAGAGTCCTCTTCAGACGAGGAGATCAAGATGAGAGTAACAGTGGGAAACCTGAACTAGCAACAGTGGTGAGGTGGCCTTAGTGCCCACCAACCCCAGCCCTTGGAAGGAGGACCTTGAACCAGTGTCCCGGTCACCCAGCCAACAGGAACACAGCCATCTCCATGAGAAGCCCCAGTAAGCTGCTGTCTGACAGAGGAGAGCTTGCCTGCACACAGAAGCATTTAGCACGGCCATTGGATGCGCTTAAGTAGAGCCTGGGCCACTACTTGTCAGGGATGTTCCACTTGGATCCCTACCCTGAACAGGAAGGTTAACTTGCGGGCTTCAAAACCAGAGGTACCACACCTGGGCATCGAACAGGACTCCATAGAGAGCAGCCCTGCAAGAAGTGGCATCTGGCAGTTACAAGATGTTTCTCCTTGCTGCATCATGGGATGGGGGACAGGAGAACAAAGGGAATGCAGAGAATCGTGTCTGGGACAAGAGACTTCTGGATCTGGTTCTCAGTCAGAGTTTCTAAGGAAACATGAAAAAGATGGAACGGTACCAGCAGCGTGTTCCCCAATCCTCAGCCTCCCTGGCCCAACTGGGAAGGTGCTGCAGCGACCTCTCTCTGTGGCAAGGCAGAGGCAGCAATGGCTGGCGTGTAGCAGGCGCTAGCATCCTGGGATGCACAAGGGGGAATCTGGAACCTTTCTCAGTGTACCTCAGGAAGATGGAGTCGGTGGGGGTGGTGGGGAGGCTGCTTCTAGCTCTCGGAGAATAGGGCGTCTTCCACCCATCTTATTCATCCGACACAGTAATAAGAACTAACTGGGAACAGGGGATGGGCAGGGAAGACAACTGCAGCAAATCCCTCAACTATGAGAGCCATTTTCTTGAGTAGGGAGCCAAGAGCCCTGAGACACTTTCTCCCACATGCTTGGGATACAGAGAGAAATGTGTGACATCTGCGTATGGTAAGACTGAAACAGACCTACTGGCTATCGTGTACGCATGTGAGTATGAGAGACTCTGATCTGCACGGCTGCTTTAAAGAGTGGCAGACTTGCTCTAGAGTCACACCCCGGAACCCAAGACACCCACATCCTTAATAGGTTCTTGGTGTTCCATGATCAGGTGCAAGGAGTCTGCACCTTGTGTTTCCTGTGCTGACATTTTTATTTGGCTTCTGAAATTCCATCCCTTTTTTCACTGATGAAGCAGGAAAGCCCAAGCAGGAGACGCATCCCAGTTAGCAGAACTGTGTTGACTCGGGGATCCGCAGCAGCTGTTGCCACGTCCGTGGAGTTGCTGAATAAGTCTTTGCCAAATGTGTTCCAACACTTATTCAGGCCTGTGCCAAGAAAAAGGGTCTGCACGAAATGTCCACGGAGCTTGATTCGGAGCACAACCTGAGGCAAGTCCTTTCTTTCCATTGTCTGATACATCTTTCAGAAACAATGTCTTCCGTTCTTCGAGCACCACTTCCAGTTTGGGCTGCACATCCTTGTCATTCATTAAATTGCCTCCGGAATGAACTGCCCACCCCCACCCCAGAGGCAGGTCCCCCCCTCCAGGGCTAAATTTCTGCTTGGCTCTGCTCCAGCTTCCTGGAATGCGCTCCTCGTTTTGTTTTCAGAGCCTCCTTTCCTAGCGGGAGGAGTGAGCCACAGAATGGGCCGGGCAGGGCAGCCTCATCAGGGCAGGGACTGGCGGCCGTGGCTCCAGGGCAGCTGAAGTCAAGGCGTAGCTGCCCTTTGCTGCTGGCCCTTGGGCTCCCCTGTAAATGCTGGGAGGAGAAGGCACCCTGGGTTTCCCCGAGGTTCTCAGCCTGCTCCTTTGCACCACACACCCCCACCCCAAAGCCCCCTTCCCTGCCATGCGACGCAAGAGCTGCCCCTCCTGCCGCCTCTCAGGACCGGCACAGCCCCCAAAGCAGATCGGGTCACCTCCTTCCTCGGCCCCAGCTGAGCCCGACCCGGCCCTGCAAAGGGCGCAACGGCGTCCCCAGGTGGGCTCCAATTTGAGCGGCGGCTCCCCGCGTCCTCCCCTGCTCTCTGGGCTACTTCCAGCCCCCAGGGAGAGGCTCTGGCTTGCCTCAGTTTCCCTGCAGGTGGCATGGGATTTCCTGCCCCAAGCAAGGCCCCCCCGGATGTGCTGGACTACAGTTCCCATCATCCCTAGCAGGAGGCAGAAAAGCATAGCCTTGGGTCACTTTATGGACTAACTGACCCTCTGAGACTTAACAGGCTCTTCCTCCGAATGTGCCTGGTATGTGCCTCAGGGAGGGTGGGTTTATCTGGGAAAATGGTCCAAGGAATTGGGGAAATTAGCAACTGAAATGCGTGAGTGCGGATTATTCAGCCGGACACACTGCTGCCTGCAGTGGGCCCTGAAAGCCCAAGAAAGGCACTGGGGAAGGTCTCTTGGGTACAAAAGCAGTCCAGATGTGGGGCAAGATGGTGGCATTCCTAGCTGGCACCGCCTGATGTGGGGATGCCTTGCTTCTACCCAGAGTTGCACCACCATGGGGAGGCTCTGAAAACAAAAGGGAGGAGAAGGCTCTTGCTCCCCCTATAAGAATGAGCATCTGCGTAAATTAGCAATTGGCAGCAGAGAAGCAGCAGCAGCAGCTAAGCGGGTTGGGCTTGGGTAGGAGACCACTCAGAAATCCCAGGACTGTAAGAAGTTGAAAAGTTCCCTTCTGCTGCCCAGCAAAGGCCACGGGTGTCTCCGTGACGGCCCCAGGCACTCCGCTCAAGGCACGTTTAGCCGCATAGAGAAAGTGAAAGTGATTCTGAGCGCGGGGCAGCGGCCTGTGGACTTGCTCCTGGATAATTGCTCAGATCTCTAGCTGGGTTTCTCCCCTGCCAGCTGCTGGATGGAGGGCAACGGAGCGGGGGGCGGGGAGAGTCCTGCCCAAGACTTTCACAACTGGATCCTGCCCAAGTCTGAGTCTCAGGGGATCAGTCCTCGCCAGCCTTAAATTATGGCTGTTTACGTTGCGTAAACGATATGTTTAAGTAACTGGTTTGCACGCGGGAGCAAAAAAGGGCAAAGCAAAAGATGACCATAGTTAAGGCCCAGAATAAGACTCGCTGGAAGCGACCGGATCGAAAGGAAGGAGGAAGTTTGCAACCCGCTCAGTCTGTCATCACAGAGTTCCTAAACTCTTACTTCATTTCTCGGTTGGTTTGGCTTATTCAGCGGCAAGAAAACCTGTCGCTTGCCATGCCAAACAATGGTCCGGCAGGTAGGAGTCCCACTGGGGGAGCTGGGTTCCACGTGGGCAAACGGAAGGATCCCCTGCGGCCACGCTCTAGGGCTACGCAGCAGACAGCTCTCTGAGCCCCTCCTCTGATCCAGGGAAACCCCGTGCCAGAGGAAGCCAACGCTGGACACAGCCAACCCTCTGAAGCTGTCCTCCCTTGACCCTGACTTAAATATTAAAGACACCGCAAGCATCGAGCCAGTTGACTTGACAAATACCGCAGATCCTTCTTAAACTGCTTTTACTGCAGAATTCCCTTCAAATGTTTTGACCCACAGCATTTAAATGCAGCTGTATTCATTTCTCATTATTCAGTTCTGACAAAGGAGGATGTTTGCAATACTGCTTCCAGATCCCAGGTGGATTACTGCCAATCAGCAGTGTAAATCATGGCTAAACAGGCCGGCCCTACAAAACCACCCGGGGCAGCAGAAAACGGCGAAGTGCGCTCCGCTGATGGAGGGCAGGGCGTGGTGCCGAGGGCACGGAGCTGGCAGGCCGGGGCAGCCTATCTTCTGCAGGCTGTTTAACCCTTTCAGGGGAAGTTCAGCCTCCCCCCGGAGGAGGACTTCGCAGCCAAGGCTGGTCCTGCAGCTTCCCAGCCGGCAAGGGCAGCTGCTGCCCCGTTAATAACTGTTGCCCGTGGTGGGCTTGAACGCCGAGGCCACACGTGTGGAAGGAAGAAGGCAGCTTCAGCCAGGGAAGCCCCTTCGGGGGTGGGGAGAGGATGGGGGCCCGCTGCGTACCTTGCAGGGGTGTGGGTCCACTCCATACGTCTCCAAGGTCTGCGCTTTCCTGAGAAAGTTCAGCTCCGCCATCGCGGGGGTCTGCCCACTGAAAGAGAAGAAAGGGGGACAGCAAGGTGCCCCTTGGCATCAACCGCCTGCGGCTCTCCCATGCTGCTCAGGGGCTCCCAGTCCCTGCCTGGAGAGCGCCTGCAGGAGGCGGGACAGCCTGGCTTTGTGCCCCGGGCAGAGCCACCGTGGCTGCTGGTGCATCTCCGTTCATCCTTTCCCCGCCACAGCTGCCCGAGGCTTTGCCACAGGCTCGGGGCGAGGGACTGGCGGGCAGGTCCGCCACCCAAGCGCCCCTCAGAGCAACTCAAGGGACCAGCCCAGCAGCATCTCAGCTGCTCCACAGGCGCAGGAGGAGGGAGCTGATGGCTTTAGGTTGACGCCAATTTTGTGTGACTGTGATATTATCGACGGCTTTCATTCTGTGTTTTTAGTTGGTCCTGCTTTCCTAGCCCAGCCAGATAGCTGTCAGGATGAAAGGCAACCTTGAAATATTCTAACAAATATGTTAATAAATGGCCTGAAGTGCTTAGAGGGGTTTTAATATGGGATTTCTTAGGTGCCTCTTGAATCGCACCATAAGGCAGGTAACAATGCAGCAGAGAGAAGGAAGGAAGCCAGGAAGAAGAGAGACAGCCACATCCTCTTACATCTGCCTGGACTGTGAGCAAACGAGGGGGGGAGCAAAATTCCCCCGCAGTGAGGTGGGTGGAAGCCAGAATCTCACCTTCCAAATGGGGTAAAACCTAAGAGGCCCCTGGGCCCTGCACAGCTGATTCCCAGATTTTCAGACCTGACTGCAGTGTAATATTGGAATTATATGGGATTCAGTTGTCTAAATTAAATGCAAGCTGGCAGCATTTGGACCTGCTGGACCAGACCATTTGTATCCCAAGGGACCGTTTCCCTGCACGCTTGACTAGCAGTGTGTTCGCATTAGCTGGCTTCTCACCACCGGAGATGTTCCACCCGTTCACGCAAGCCTGATCTTGTCCTGCTCTGCGTTCTCCTTCCCTGGATCGAGCTGTGCCCAGGGTTAGTTCACAGCAGCCCTGCTTTTTATTAGTTAGAGCGTCTTCTGGCTTGAGATCACGCTGTTACAGAGCCAAGGGTAGCCTTGGTTTCTAGCTGCCCCTTGCTCTAGACATCTCCTGGGACCCAGAAAGTTGGTCGTGGATATTAGATCGTGATTTGTTTTGGAAGAGCCCACCAGGCTTGCTCAGCCACACAACTGAGAAGGAGTCCTTGGAGGAGCCGGAAGACGGCCGAGTGCTGCGTCTCTCGGGTGCAGCTTTAAAGCCAAGCGTCCCTCTCGCCAGGAAGGCAGGAGTCCCCACAGCGAGAGCAGGGGACGCTCAGTCTGCAGGGCGGTGAGAGGGGAGCCTCACCCTGTGGTCAAGCAGCTGGTACTCAGATCTCCCCTCCACCTGGAAAGGGCAAAAGCACTCCAGAGGCCAGTACCTCGAGGTCTCTCTGAGCAGCCCCTGCGCACGCCTCCCCAGCCTTTAAAGGAGGGCGGCTGCAATGCTGAGGTCATCCTGAGCCTCCCCGGGCAGCACTGGACAGGGTCACGGCTTCTGGAGGTCACCTAGCCCAACACCCAGCTCAGCAAGAGACTTGCTAAAGGAGACTGCAGAAACCCACTTTGCACAAAAGGCGGGCTGTGGATCTAGCAGACAAGCAAGCCCAAAGTCACCTGAGCTCAATTTTGTGGATCTCAGCAATTTTCCTCTCCAATTTCTCTGAGTGTTTGGGGAAAAACTGGAACTTGGAACTGTATCCCTCTGGGTGTTTTCCAGGATCATAGTCACCAATTTCCGCTGAAAGAAAGAACAGAAATCAGCAATTATTACTGACTGTTTGCAAATGTAAGCAAAGGCGATCCTTGGTGCCTAGTGAGTCCATCTGTTGCTGCTGTTTTACAAATATTTCCTTAATCAAATACAATCACTATGAAGCTGATTTTCTGCAATGCATCCTATTTATTTGCAGGAATGCCTTTTAGTCCCAGAAGGTCGTAAGAAAAAGACAAACATTCCATCTTCTCCTCCTTAGTATTTTCTCTGGGAAGAAAATGATGGAAGTGGTGGAAAGAAATGAGGGTGTGTGCAAATGGAGGCTCACACCACCAGAAGCACGTGAAATTTGCCAGACAATTGTAAAAGCCCCCCCGCCCGATCCTCCCAGGGGCAGAAGGTGAAGGGCTTAAAACACAACAAAGCTTATCCGTGCCACTGAGGGGGCAGTTTCAAAGGCGCTCCCAGTGCAGCACTGAGGGCATCCGCGTTTCTCCTAAAAGCGCACGTCTCTTGTCTGAAGGCATTACCTTGAAGGATGTGGGCGGCTAACAGAGCAGCGTCGGAGGTCTTGCACAGGAGGCGGCCATGATACAGATCTCTTTTGATCTGCAAGAAGACGAGATACCTGTCAGGGGAACCAGAGCAAAAGGGATGAGTGCCTTCCTTTCCTTACAGCCCTGGAGAAGCAGCTGTGGGCTCTTCATAAAATCCCCTTTGGGCCTCTTCCACTGACCGAACGAAGAGGCGGCCAATCCTGACCCACGGTTCCCTCTCCCGACGGCTGTGGGGAGGGCTCCGTTCAGAAAGCGTTCGCACCGGCTGCCTTGCAAGGCAGTTTCTAACCGTCCTGATCCCTGCCAGGAAGCCAGTCGGCAGCAGAGCGTTTCCACACCTCTTGTTCCCTTTCTGAATGCCGGTGCCTCACCCAGCCCTTTCAGAAAAGCGGCTAACCTGCTGCTCTTCTTAACAATATTGTAACTGAGTTATGGAATTACAGAGTGATGCTTTATTATCAATCAGCCATTTCCTTAGGAAGTTCAGTCTCTGAATTTCCAGGTGGTTGGACTAAGACGTCCTTCCAGCCCTGGGATCAACAGTCCCAGAGTCCACATTCATTAATGAAGTCTGGGAAGAAATGCTGGCCTTGGTTGCACCCTTAATGATCTGTAAAGATGCCAACTGTCCCTTTCCCAGCACGTTCTAGCAGTGGTGAGAAGGTGGATGCTGCCTTTTGGATCTGCAAGCAGCTTGTCAAAAGTTACCAGGACTTAAGAGCAGCTTTCAACCCAGCCGGCCAAAAGTCCCCCTCTTGCCCAGGCGGTCAGTGGCTTCCCAGGCCTGGAGGGAAGGCCCACAATCATGCCCAAAAGACCAGCGTGGAAGGAAGGGCTGGAGCCGGCATTCAGACAAACTGGACAGGAGGCTCCGGGCGGCTAGCTTAGGCTCTCCCAGGCGCTAAACTAATTTCAGGCTGCTTTTAGGTCTCTCCTTATACAGTAAGAACATCTGAAATTTATTTTATTTTATTTATTCATTCAAATGTGTTACAGCTGCCCACCTCCAACAGACACTGGGCAGTATACAGCCCCGCCCCCCAAAATGACTAAGAGTAAATCTTAACGGGATCCAGGCCCTGGCATGATGGTATAATATTCTGACTCTCTTCACTGTCCAATATACGTTGTGGCTGGGTATCAAGTGGGGGGACAGGTGTATATTTTGAGGGTTGATGTATCGCTAATGGCCTGCCTATCCCATCTCCTCTCCTTCACGCCAAGATCACTTCTCCGGCTGATGGCCAAGGCGGGTCGTCACACGAATACCCACCCTGAAACAGAGGCAGACAGAAACCGTATCTACTGCAACGCTGTGGTGGGACGGTGGTGGCTCAAGGAGGGGGCTGGGTTTGAGAGGATGGAAGGCAGCAGGAGAAGGCCGCCTAAGACGTGATCCAAGGGGGGAGATGAAGAACAGAGCAAAACCTGGGGTGGACGCCTCATCAAGGGTGCCACCAAAGGATGGGGGTCATTCGAAGCACAGCTAGATGACAGCTGTGAAGTGGAAGACCGGCTGCAGTACTGCTGGTTATTAGGCCCTCAGCAGCCCTTGAGAAGACAGCCAATCTGAAACCACTACAATATCTAGTAAAAGGGGGAGACCCACAAGCCAGTCTGGTCCAAGGTTCTAATGGACCTTATTTCACCTCCACACATTTCTCAATTTGCCATCTTCTTGATGAAGACCTTTACAGAATGCCAAAGTTTGCACATTATTTCAGAAACCTTTACTTTGACGATTAAAGGTATTGACATGAATCTGAGGCTCAGAAGCAGAGCTCAGCCCTCACTGAAGGGTGGTGCTGGCAAAGCACATCCCTAATGAACACCCTGTTAGAAAGTAATGCCCTGTTTTCTCCCTTTGCGCTTCCTTGCACTTCCACCACCCTCTTCCTCTTCCTCACGGTGGGATCCGAGGAACAGCAGAGCCAAGCTTTCCCAGGGGGTCCAATGTTCTCGGGCTCCTCCCCCTAAGCAGCTTGTCCCGTGGCCAGCCCAAAGATGGACAAGACCCCTGCCCTCAGCCTTACCTGGTGATCTCCTCTTTTAGAGCAGCTGGATCGGTGGGGTAGAACTTCACTCGGAAGCACATGGTGAAGGGGGGCTGAGCTGCAGAAGATAAAAAGATCATCAGTGGGTTGGGGAATCCAACTTAGAGTAGGACCTCAGGTCCCCAAGAAGCCTTAACCCTCCTGGTGCCATCTCCAATCTGGCTTAGCAAAGGGCAGACTTTATCCTGGGGCAAAAAGAGGATTTGTGTCTTGGAAAGGAAAAATTGCCAATGGCTTCGACAGGAATTGGACCCTGAAAAGTGACAAGGGAGAAGGGGGTCACGTCTAGGAACAGGTACAGAGGTCTTATTTGCAGCTCAGAGAGCAGCCTGTACAGTGAGGGATCCATCTGGAAACGTCAGCGCTTTTCTCCGCTCTGTGGGATGCCCTCAAGCAAACGAGAACTTCTGCTCAGTGGAACCAGATTCTTCTAGTTAAGCACAAGTCCAATAACTCGCCACGTTCACAGAGGCTGAGATGGTACCATGGGAGTTTGGGTTCCAAACAGGGGAGTGGGAGATCCCTGCAAACCAGCACAGTCTACCCCCCCACACCCAGAGCCTGGCGTGCTGCTTATTACCGCAGCCAGAACATCTCCCGTTGCAAAGTTAGAAGCCTCCCAGCTCACTGAATAGCTCAGGAAGACAAATACTTACATCGCATTTGCTTCACCACAGACTTTGTGAATTCCAGCCAGTGCTAAAGCAAAGAAGAGAGAGAGTTTCAAAAGCT